TGATAGAAATCTTCAGTTTTTTTTAACCTCTGTTAACCCGAATAACCTATCATTTCTGCTCAGCTACTACATTTGTCATTCCTACATTTCCTTTTCTTTACCAAAATTCCTCACAGCTGGTCATAAGGAATTATGGAGGCTTGTAATCCTTCTTATACTTAAACTTAATATTGCCTACATTGTTAATGCATTTTCTACCACTTTTGCCTGCTTTTTTCCCCTTATTTTTCCTCTCCTTTCCATCGTTAGACTTCAATTCATATATAGTACTCTTAATCTCAACATTCTTGTCAATTTATTGTGCGTGAATGAGCTAAGGTTATCGCGAAATTCACCGGTGAAGAGGTGTACATTGATTGATTGTGAAATTAGTCGTATTTCAACGTCGCTCTCTGCATGCACTTACATGAGCGAGAGGGGATGATGGGGGAAACTGGCCATTTAAAGCTTTAATGCATCACTTCTTAGTTGGATAGTGTGAAATAGATTCACTGAAACTAGAAACAAGGCTGTTTCTATGTTCCGCTTTCGCTATTTGAGTCGTATTTCATGTCTGCTTCAAGCCTCATGTCTGCTGAACCAAATTCGGCTCGAAACTTTAATATTGACATGCATGGCGCGATTTCAGAATATTCAATATGATTTGATGAAATAGTGGATCATTTGAAAGTACTCTCCCGCGTTACACAATAAAAAAATCATGAGAAAATGGACATTCGTGGCAGTGTTCTGCCATGGTTTGGATTTTTCTTTAGGGATGTTCTTTCTATTTGCTTAACTATTGGGATTTGTTCTGTAGAAAACTTAGTATACAAAAAGGGGACGTGACAACATTTACTTGACGGGCACTTCCTCCACAGCCTAAAATTAGTCCGCAATTAATTCCATTACGATACACCAGCTTTGCGCCATTGTTGGAGTCTGATCCGTTTTCGGATCTTCCTTCTAAATTTGTACTTTCTCCATAATTAACAGTCGTGGCAAATCTTGTTCTCCCTGTTCCCGTTAGTTCACGTAAATGTCAATTCTTCATCTGTTGCAATTTTGATATTAATTAAAGGTTGCCCTCTTATAGAATTGCATGATCTCACCATCATTACTATCACTTCTGTTGATATTTGGGTTATTTAATGCGTCCTGCACTTATCATATAGCCGACAAACGTCAGCTACTTTCATCAGCTACCCATGTGAGTCCTTACTCTCATTCTTGGTAGATGGTTTCGAATTATACTCAACTCTCAACTCTTCAGTATACTGTATCAGTAATCCGTTCACCTTTACATGTTAATTGTACTGTATCGTTGTGTGGGGGTGAACTCGCCCCCATATACTGCCATGGAGATATCATTACCAATGCCTGGAGGTTTGGTCTCCAGGATATATGTCCAGGGACTAGGATGCGGTTAAATCCGAAAGAAATTTTGAGAAACTTCGAAAGGTGAGTTTCTATCTAGTTTCGTTTATGTCTACATATATTTATGTTAAGACTGGAGTATCCTATCGAGAAGAAAACGTTCGAGGCTTTTTGTCGCCTCAATTTTGTGAACGTTCCTTATTTAATAAATGTGTCATTACCTGACTATAAAGCTAGGCCACGTTTTCTCGATTTGATTCAAAGGAAGGATCATTTGTAAGTTGTGTAAATTTGGAATTTCAAATCCATTCTCCTATGATTTTTTAAAAAGATTTTTGGGCTGCTTCCCTTGGAATGTTCTTTTACTAACTATTTCGTATTCACAGTTTTTATTCAGAATTTAGAAAACTTGCCGAATCAGTTCACTTTCTGTGGAATAAACTAGCTCGTAAATTCACCGACGATGTCCTTGTGAACACCTCATTCTATCCTATTGTTCCCGTTAACAATAATTTTATCGTCCCTGGTGGAAGATTTCAAATCTTCTTTTATTGGGATTCCTACTGGATTTTGAAAGGTCTTAGCTCATTGCTGTATATCGCCTGTTCGTGCATTATTCAAGAAATAATCCAGGTCTCTATCTCTCCGAGTTAATAAGCACAGCGAAAGGAATGATTCAGAATTTTGCGGATGTTATTTATAGAAATGGATTCATTCCAAACTCAGGAAGCATTCAGTGAGTTTCAAGGAATTTATGATTATGTCTTGCTTGCCGTTTCTCATTCTCTTATTTTTCATACAAAGAGGGCTAATAGAACTTATCTAGAACTGCTTTTCCTAGAATGTTGAACATATGTCTAATCACCGTTTTCCAAAGCTGCTTTACGAGGTTATAATCAACGGATATACCTCTGTAGGTAAATAAGTTTGCCTTACTATCGTCTCGTTTAATTAAACAACTTCCCCTGCACGATGTTTCCTAGCATTTTCAGGGCAACAACGCTTTAGTTTATGTGTGTGGGGGAGATGAAGAGGATTGAGCGGTATTGAGATATCTCATGTAAAATGAATAGAAATTAATAACAGTAATGAAATTTGGACTACCAATTTAGTTGTTTATGGGGTTGTGTTCAATGGGTTTTTCAATTCTGTTGCCTTTTTGGAACAGCCTTATGTTACACTTACTTTTAGTGATGCGAGTACGTAGATGTTTTGTGGTAAATTCAACATCACAGTCATTGCATTGCAATTTTTATAGATTGTCGCGTCGTTCTCAACCGCCTCTGTTTGTACAAATGGTCAAAGATTACTTTGCTGTTACGAAAAATCTAGAAAGCCTGCGACGATGGATGCCGTCCATGGACAAGGAGATGCAATGGTGGATAGATAAAAGAAGTGTGAATATTGAATTACCTAGCAAAAGAACGGTTTTCATGTTCCTTTACCGAGTAAGTTCTCGTCTATTTTTTAAAATTGTCAACTGTATAATGTTTACCTTTGAAGACTGAGACAAATTGTCCACGTCCAGAAAATTACTTATCTGATTACTTACTTGGCATGAATAACACTGATCCCTTGAGAACGTGGACGGCGATGTCCACCGCCTGCGAGAGTGGCT